AAAATTATATAAATCAAGAAAAAGAAAGAAAATCTTTTACAAGAAATACTAGATTTTTAAATTTAACAAGAAACAAAAAAAATATAAATATAAATACTTAAGAACATTAATATGATTAAATATAAAATAATTTTAATTCTAATTTATCTTAAAGATATAAGAATATTTTTAATAAATCATTTAATAATTAAAAATTATGATAAATTAAAACTATATATAGATATTTTAAAATATTATAATTGATTAATAAATTATTTTTTTTATTTTAATATTATTTATTATTATTTTTATTGTAAAATTAATAATTATTTTAGAATAAATAAATAAAAAACATTTATAAATTTAAATAATTTTATTTTCTTATAAAAATAGGTTTTATAATAATAAAAAAAATATTTTAATTTTATAAATAATATTTATTCAACAAAAAATCATAATATTATTAAAATAAAAATTAAATTAATTAAATTAAAATAAAATAAAATTTACATTATTATTTTATAAAAATAAAATATAAAATTATGTATAATTTATAATGAAAATTAATATTTTTATAGTATATATTTTGAACATAAAACTAATGATAAAATAAAATGTAAAAAAAAAATATTTGAAAAAATACAATTAATAATATATAAAAAATAAAATATAATATATAAAAATAAAATATAATTTCTTAAAAAAAAATATGAAAAAAAAAAAAAGAAATAATATTAATAATATAAAAAAAAAAATATGATTAAAATAATAAAAAAGTAAAAAGTCAATAAATTATTGTTATAAAATAAAAATAAAAATCATATAGTAAAGAATTTAATCAAAATATATTTAGATTAAAATAAAAAAAATTAATAATTTAAAAAAATAAAAAATAATATAATTTTGTTTTTTTAATATATTAAAAATTAATAATAATAATAATAATAATAATAATAATAATTATAATAATAATAATAATAATATATAATTTATATTTTTAAATAAAATCTTATTTTTTTTTTTATATTATATTTTTTATTTAAAATTTTACTTTTTTAGAATAAGTGAACTTTAATACAAGTATACTTTCTACTATCTATTATTATATCATCAAATAGTTGTAAATTTTTAATAATTTTATTTATTATCTTAATAATTACTTAAATTAATATTATTTATCCATATAACATTTTTATTTAAATAATGTAGATATTTAGCGAAATTACTCTATAACTATATTAAAGTATATTAATTTTAATAGTGAGTGTTAATTGTTAATTATCTGTACATTATTTTATATTATATTTAAAATTTAATCATTTAAAATTTTTTAATGTCTATAAATAAAAATTAACAATATAATATTTAAAATCTAATATTTAATTTATTCATGTTCATTAAAATGTATATTTGAATATCCTTTATTGTTTTAAATATAAAAAAGAACAAACAGAAGAACATTAATCAGACTCAGAAGTATGGTTATAATTAAATGTTGAATAATATAAAAAACAATTAATATTACAAATTAAAAATTTGATTCATGATTAAATAAAGGATAATAAAATTTTAAATATATTAAAATAGTTAAGGATATATATATGATAAAATATAGATTATCCGAAAAAGATTTGGAAAAGGTATTCTTTATGTAAAGATGAAAGTTTTTAAATTGTCTAATGGAAAGATGATAAATCTAATAAAATTGGAAGAATTATTAATCTTAATGGAAATATTTACCAATGTGGATGGATTAATGGGTAAGATAATGGAAAAGGCACTTTTTATATGTAAACTGATAAGAATATATTGGATTATGGCTTAATGATAATTATCATCAAAAACCAAAAAAATTCTAGCCAAATAATAGTTATTGTGATGGTGATTTCAAAAATAAATAAATTCAAGTTTTTATGTTTTTTTTAGACAAATCTTTTTATCTGGATAATTTGAAAATAATTAAGGAAAAATTTTCTATTTTTTTTTTTTTTTTTTAATAAAATATATCTCTATTATTATAAATACTGAATATTCCATTAATGCTAAATCTAAAATAATGAAAAACTTTCTATATAAATTTTATAGACAGCATTATGTTCGTGAAATATTGAAAATCCTTAAATGCAATTGAATGCAAATTTTAATGGTTAAACGCATATACAGGATTTTTTATAAGCTGCAGTGCGACTTATAGAGTGCGTCTTATATGACAAAATTTACAGTATTTATTAGTGGATTAATTTAAGATGTTTCCAATATGAAAAGAATATGATGGAAAATAAATGGCAAATGTAAATATTTTTTGAAAATTGATAAAGCTATGATGGATAATAATTTGATGATATAAAGTAGGATTTAAAACATTTGTTTATAATCAAAATAAAAAATATATGGGAGAATGGAAAAATAATCAACCTCATGAGAATGGTAATATTATTAAAAAAAGAAATTTACGAATTGGATGAAAAATTAAATGGTTTTTGAATGTAGTTTATTTATTTAAATTAAAAAAAATTTAAATATAATTATTAAAATTTATATAAAAATTAAAATTTTAATTAATTTTATTAGTATATTTTCTTTAAATTATATTATATATTTGTAAAAAAAACAATTAAGTTTTCTATGAATATAATAGAATCAGATTTATAAAATATAAAAAATTAATTATAATAGTTTAATTTAAATTCATAAAATCAAAGTTAGGATTCTTTAAACATTATAATCGTATAATTAATATAAATAGCTGATGATAAAATAAATTAAATGTAAATTATTTTTTTACAATATCAAATAAATTTTTATTTTTATTATTTTATTTTAATAATCATGTCTGTTTCTAAGTAAATAATGCTAACAAGATTATTAAAAAGAAAAAAATAGCTAAAAAGAATAATTAAACTAAATAGAATTTTAAATTTTATTCTTTAATTAATAAAATAGTTTATATGAATTATAATAACAAGACTTAAAAATCTAAACCTAATAATTATATGGTTATTTATAAAAACAGGAGTCAGATTTTGTAAAAAGTAATTAGCATTTAGATGAATTAAGAAAAGAATTTATTATTTAAAAATAAATGAAGCAACAACTCGATGAAAATAAATTACAGAATGAAACCTTTAATGAATAAATTAAAAAACTAAATTTCTAATAAATGGCTTTGGAAAGTATAATTTTAATAAAATAAGAAAAATTACAAAAACTATAAAATGAATAATAAGGATTAAAAAATAAAATTTGTACTTTAAATAACGATTGCAATTTAAAAAAAAAAATATTAATTCAAAATTAATAAAATGAAAAATAAGTTTCTAATTTTAATAAAGTAGCCTCCTAAAAAGATCATCCAAAAAAATAAAAAATTCTTATTATTAGAAAAAAAAAAGCTATTAATTTTAATAGCATAAAAATATAATTGAAAATTAAATAAATGATTGTAATTAATAAAATTAATCTTAATAATAATTAGTATAATTATAATAGCAATAATAATATGAAATACATCAATAAAATAAAAAAAAAGGGTAAATAAATTTTTATAAAAAATTATGTATTTTTTAATAGTTCTTCTATGAATATAATTACTCTTAAAGAAGAAATGGGTGATAATTTATTTTCAATATCTTCCTAAAATTCCCTTTAGGAATATGGAGAGAAAAATGATTTCAATAAAAGTTAAATAAAATAAATATGTTAAAACTTTATTAATACACATACTTATTATTAGTTAAGAAAATTGTAACACAAAGATAAAAAATGAAAAAAAATTAATCTTAGAAACTAAATAAAAGAAATAAAAATTATATTTTTTTATTTTTTATAAATGATAATCAAAAATTTAAAATATAGATGATATTTTAAATAACTTGTTTTTATCATAATTTTTTGTTTCATTTAAATTATTATGATTTAATTTAGCTTTATAAAAAAATTAATTTTTATTAAAATTAAACTAAACTAATTAATAATTATTATAAATATTCTTTTAATTAATTATAATTTACATATTATTTTTAAATATTAAAAAGCAAAATGCAAAAGCAAAAACAAAAACAACAAACGAAACAGAAAACCATAATTAGAAAAGAACAAATCTAATGTAAAAAAATATAAGAAACGATAGATATTAAATTAATTTATTATAAAAAGTATTGAATTAGACTAATTAAAAATTAGAATTATTATGAAGTCCTAATTAGTATTTATTAAAAACTTTTTATAGACTTGAAAAAAACTCTTAAAATGTCAAAAAATTATAGTTATCATAAAAATTTTACTTTTGAATATTATTTTTACAATACTTTTAATTTAAAAATTCAATCAAAAAAAAAGACATTATATATTTTTTTTTGTGCAATCAAAAAAAAAATATTATATATTTTTTTTTTTGCATATTAATAATTATTTTTTTATTTGAAAAAAATCTTATGTATTTTCAAATTATTGATAATAATATCTCCATAAATATTTATAAAACCAATAAATTATTCATTTAAAATATAAAATATATATAAATGTCGGCTAAGTAATTAATTATAGCTTATTTTTTGTTAGTAATTAAAATAAATTTTAAAAGAATAAACGGTGTTGAGTAAATTAAATTAAATTAAATTACTTAAACAAAAATATAAAGAATAAAATAAAAAATTATATATTAAAAATAATATAATTATAAAATTTTTTATATATACATATATTTTTTTATTTATAATTCAATCACTTTATTATTTTTAACATATTTTTTCATTTTTCTTTTTTAAAAAGAAAAAAAAAAATCAGTTAATAATATAATATATATTAAAAAATAAATAATAATTAAGTAGAATTATAAATTAAAAAAAAATGTCTTTTTGTGAAAATTCTAATTAATAAAATGCTTTAAACGACTCATTTAGTTATTAATAACAATAAAATACTCAGAATTCTTAATAAACAAGAGATTTATAGTAAATTGAAAATGATATTAAATAAACTATAGGACATGTAACAGATCTTAAAAACAATAAATCAGACATATGGATAGCAGAATAAATAAACACTTCCAATTCTTAAATATCTTAAAATACAGAAAGTAAAAATAAAAATTACTAATATTTTTATAATTATATTTATTAAATTTTTAAGTTTACCCAAAATATAATTAATAAACTAACTACTATTAAGAATTTTGGAAAACATACTTAATGAATGAAATGATGATTTCTAAAATAAATGAACTATCAACTGATAATTAAGTGCTAGATTCAAAACTAAACGAATTAGAAGTAATATTAAAGTTATAATATACTAAATTTGTATAACATTTAAAAAAGTGTTTATAATATAATAATATAAAACCTAAAAATAATATACATAAAAAAAATTATAATTATAAAAAAATAATAATGTTAAATATGCTTATTTTTTAATCCAATTTAATTTTAATTTTTTATTTTGTAAATAAAATAATTTATCATGTATTTATGAAATTTTTTTATGATTTTATTCATGTTTTTTTAAAAGAATTTGCATAGAGAATACTAAAAATTAATTTGCATGAAAAATAAAAAAAAAAACAGAAGAACTTCGAATGAAATAGAAAAAAGCTAAATTTGTCCCTATGTTGAATGTTCTAAATTATATGGATCAGAAGTATCATTGAACCTACATATAAAACTTAAGCATAATGGAGGAAATAAAACTGAAAGAGAAAGATTAGCTGTTATTTTTTTTATATATATTTATGCATTTAAATATTTTAATAATTTAGCTTTCAATATGCATGGCTTAAGAATAAGGAAAATCAACACCATATTAAAATTTGAATTTTCCTCCTGGATATTTACAAGTATTTTTTTTATTATAAGTGTTTTATAAATTTATTTTATTTAAGTATTTTAAAGAATAATATGAAAAGAAAAAAGATAGATTAATAAAATGTGAATAACTTTAAAATTAAGAAAATATATTAATGTAAAGTCTGAGTTAAGAAAGAGAAGAAATATATAATACTGAAGATGATGATAGTAAATATAATGATAATATTAACGTAAACAAATTAGAATTAAATTTGTAGATTAATAAAAATATTAATAATCAATAGCTAATTAAAAAAGCTAGTAAAAATATTGTTTGATTATATTCAAATATAATTTATTTAGATAAATTCCTTAAAAATATATATTACTAAATATTATTTTAATTTATATTTAATATATCTATTAGTTTTATAATTTATATAAAAATTTTAATATATAAACAATTTTATTTTATTTAAATTAAATTTTTTATTTTTAAGTTTAAATTTATTAATTTATTTAAATAAAATAAAAATTAATAACATTTAAAATTTATAAATATAAAATTCTATTTTAAAACAGGATCTTATTAAAAATAAAAAGATTATAAATTTTGAATATTTATTTTATGATGATTTATTTAGTTATTTATTTTAATAAATGAAAAAACTGAAAATTCAAATATATGATTTTTTTTATGTAATTATAATATAGTTTGCAATATTTCATCACTCATAATAATTAAATAAAAAATTTATCAAAATTTATTTATAAAAAATTAAAAAATTTCTAATTCGAAAAATAAGTGGATTATTAAAACTTAAGTAATCCCAATCCTTATATTAACGAAGAAATGTCTATTGATATAAAGATTTAATTATTATACGATTCTGGATTTCAAATGTCTTAAACTATAATGATTCTTTTACATAAAAAAAAACTTTAGTATAATTACTCTATATATAAATTTAAAAAATGTGAGACTCTAATTTATTTTAAATATTTATACTTATAATTTATTTAAAATAGAATAATATGTTAAATAAACTTTAAATTTGGGAAAATGGCATAATATAAATTCTTTTTGCAGTATTTTTTAATTGTTTATACAGATCTAAAAATATTATATAATTAAAAAAAATTATTTAAATTTTATAATGTTATTATTTTAATGCATCTGTATATGCAAGAATAATAAATAATATAATTTAAGTTAATTACAAAAAAAATCAAAGAATCTTATAAAGTAAATAATGTAATCACTTAAGAAATAATATGTATTAAAGCAATTACACCTTAAATTATGTTCAGAATAAAATATTATATAAATAGAAATATAAATTATTAAAAACATAGAATGATAATAATATATTTTTAAAAAATATAATAATATTTATATTAAAAAAAAATTTTTTTGTTACTAAACTATATTTAGAAATTATAAGGTAATCTAGAGTTAAATAAAAAAGTCTAAAAATTAGTAAAATATATTGAAAAATTCTTAGAAAATATTAAACAAATTTAAAAAAATATTTATATACAATTAAACGAAACTATAAAAAATTAAAATTTTATAAAAATAAAAATCATAATATATATTTAAAATAAAAATAAATAAATGATAATATAAAAAAAAAATTATAATAAATAATTTTTTTTTTTTTTTTAAAAAAAAAAATATAGTTGAATATATAAAACAAAAAATTAATATAATTATGAATTAAATATTATATTAATAATAAAAAAATATTAAATAAATATTATAGAAGTATAATAAATAAATAATATCGAATATTAAATAAATAATAAATAAATATATATTAAAATAAAACTTTAAAAATTATATTAAAATAAATTTATTTATTTTATTTAATTTATTTTTCATTGATTGAAAAAGAAGTAAAAATCAAATAAGACACAAAATTAAAATTATATAATAAATGCTTTCTATTTTTAAAAATGTAAAAATTTTAATTTTAATAGTCATTATAGTTAATATAAAAGAAATTTTAAAATTTATTACATTACACTTTTTCATCTAAATCATATTATGATTGTATGGACTTATCTTCAAAATAAACTTTTTATGTAAATCATAAAAATATAATATATTAATATAAAATGTTATTTTAAGCATAAAGATTTATCTATAAACCGTTCTTAATTCTCCAAATAACTTCCTGAATTAAACCCAGAAAAAATGAGATTCGGTGCTTTTCATACTGAACATATGCTAACAATAGATTTTGATTAATCAACTGGTTGGTAAAAACCTATTATACATCCATTTGAGCATATTTAAATGCATCCTTTTTGCTCTTCTATTCATTATGCTATATAATGTTTTGAAGGAACTAAAGCTTTTAAAGGTACAGACGGAAAAATACGTATGTTTAGATCTGATGCGAATATGTTCCGTCTAAAAAATTCTATGAAATCTTTATCATTACCTGATTTTGATGGAAAGGAGTTTCTTAAATGTATTAAAGATTTAGTCAAAGTAGATGAAAGATGGGTCCCCAACAAACGTGGATTCTCATTGTATATAAGACCTACTGGAATTTCTATGGATGTATAAAAAAAAATTGAATAGTATTTTTTTAATTTTCATATACATAAAAGGAAAAATTAGGAGTAAGAGCTCCTGATAAAGCCAAGCTTTTTTGTGTTTTTTCACCTGTTGGCCCTTATTATCCTTCAGGATTTAAACCAATAAAATTATATTGTGAACCTAAAAGAATTAGAGCAGCTCCAGGAGGTACAGGAAATTTGAAAATCGGAGGTAATTATGGTCCTACTATTCCAATTAGTTAATAAGCTGAAGAAAAAGGGTATTAATAAGTGCTTTGGTTATGGGAAGATAAGTAATGTTTTTTAGAAAATTATTTTTTATTTAAAAAAAGTCTTCTTGAAGTTGGTACATCTAATATATTTTTCCTTTGGTTTAATGAATAAGGAGAAAAAGAATTAATAACGCCTTATTTAGATGAAGGAACTATATTACCAGGTGTTATTAGAGACACAATATTAGTATTAATATTTTAATACCCTTTTATTTAAAATTATATATCAATTCTAATTTAAATTAAAAAAAAGAAATTAACTAAATCATGGGGAGAATTTAAAGTTACAGAAAGAAATATAAAAATATATGAAATTACTAAGGCAGTTAAAGAAGATAGAGTATTATATTAATATTCCAAAACTTTTAATGTTTGCAATTATTGTAACAAATGCGAATATAGATTATCGATATTTTTTTATTGTTATAATAAAAGCAAACATTGAAAAACTATAAAATATTAAATTTAATTATTCTGTTAAATTTTATTATAAACTAAAAGATTATTGAGTCTTTTGGATGTGGTACTGCCGTTATCGTTTGTCCGATTGAATAGTTTTACTATAATGGAGATACATATAAAATAAAAATAAACAAAGAATTAGGTGCAGGTGAATTAGCTTATAGACTAAATACCACAATTTAAAATATTTAGGTAAATTTTTACTCAAAAATAAAATATTATATTATATTTATTTTTACTTATTTTTTAGTATGGAGATGTTGAACACGAATGGGCTTAAATAGTAGAATGAATGAGTTTAATGAAAAATTAATAATGTTTCGTTATAATAAATTTATTAAATTATGTATTAAATAATAATAAAACAAGTAATTTTATATAACTAATATTCAATAATTCTTTTTAAAACTCTGAATTATTTGTTTTATATTAAAATATAATGAAAAAATATTTTATTATTAATAATAAATTTTAAATTAAAATAAAAATAAAACTTTTATACAAACTTTTTTTAATAAACAATTATGTTTAATAAATTTTGTGAATTAATTAAATTATTTTTATATTTTACTCCTATTATAATAATCTAAAATTTTTAATAACTTTCTATAATAAAATATAACATATATAAGAATATAAATATAATATAGTCATTAAAACTTTAAATTATTATTTTAAGGTTAAACTATAATGTATAATGTATTTTAATAAATAGGATAATTAATATTAGGATAATTAATTTTTTTATTTATAAATTAAATATTTATAATTTTATGAATTAAATTAGTTAGACATTAAGAAAATACTAATTTAGTTTTGGCGCGAATAATTCGGCTACTAAAATTTAATAAAAATATATAATTAATAAAATTTATATCTTTAAATAAAAAATTATTTTAGATATTATTTAATAAATAAAAAGATATTAAAAGTTGTATTTTTAATTTTAATATTTTTTTTAAATCTTTTTTTACTATTATTTTTATTAACCCTTATTTATTTAAAATTATTAAAAATAAATATAATAACGCTGTTCAATATTTATAAAAAAAAAATATCAATTATTATTTGGAAATTTTTAATTTTTTTAGAATTTTTTTTCTGCATAACCTAAACTAGCATATAAATATATATTATATATTTTTTTTTCATATCTCAACGAAAGTATCATTATCTATATATTCAGGTATATTTAATCCATATTTTTCAGCTAATTATTAAGGGACAAATCTTCCGCCTAAAAAATGTTTGCCTTTAAATCCTTATATCCCGATTTTAGGTAGAGTTAAAGAAATAAGATATTAAGGCTCAAATAAATTTTATGTATTTCCTTTTTCTACATCCCATCCGCTTGGTATATCGATAGAAAAAATTGGAACCACACAATTTTTAAATCCTTCCAGAACATCAGTATAAGGTTATTTGGAAGGAGGTTTGAATGAAAACCCAAAAATTCCATCTATAATAAGTTCAAATGAATTTAAATAATCTAAAATGTTTTGGTTTTATATGATTTCTTCATATTTACTCACATTTACATTATTACTTTTACAAGATTATATTAACGATTAAAAAAATTATTTTTCTGGATTTTTAAAATATAATAATTCAGTCATATATTTTCCATTATACATTTATAAATGTCTAGCAGCTACCATTGCATCTCCTCCATTATTTCCTGGGCCAGCTATAAATAATATTTTTTTGAGCTTAGGATAAGAATTATGGTGAACTTTTATTATATGATGTGTGCAATGAGCTACAGATTATCCTGCTAATTCCATTAATTATTCAAGTTTGAAACCTATTTATATACTCATTAGTTCATTGTCAAAGTCTTGTGCTTATTTTTAGTTTAAATATGAAATTTTTATCATTTGATTTTTTAATGATTGAAGTTTTTACATATATAATATATAATTATATGAAAATTGTTATATTTATTTAACGAAAAAGGAGTTAAAATAATAACTTTTTCTAAATTTTAAGAATATAAAATTAAATATTTATATATTATTATTTAAAAAATATTTTTATAACTATAAACTAAAAATATATAATTATAATAAACTAAATATATATTTTTAAAAATGTAGAAAATTCTATCTTTCCTGCCTAAAATAAATAACATCTAAAAGGTTACTTTTTGTAGCTATATTAAACAAAAAAACACATCTTTTAAATCAATATAAAGAATGTCATCTATTTTTAAATAAAATGCTAATTATGAAGATGCTCGAGAATTTAATCCTTAATATAATTATTAAAGAAAATAATAATAAAGATCATCTTTTAATTATGAAGATCAACCATATTTTAACAATTAATAATAAAATTTCAATAATAAACAATAGTTTGAATAGGAATTAAATCCTTTAGATTTTTCAAAGGAAGTACTTCCATAATTTGAAAGAATATTTTATAATAAAGATTTATTATAATAAGAGGATTTTTAATAAGTAGAAAACCATCTAAAAGAAAATCAAATAAAAATTATTTCAGCCACTAACATTCCTCCCCCTCCATTTTTATCATGGAAAAATTCTCCTCTTTGTGATTAATTAAAAAGTCTAGTGTAATCTTAAGGGTTTGAAAAGCCCACATCAATTTAATCATAATGTAAAAAAATAAAATAATAAAAATAAAATAAAAAATAGGTATACCTATAATTCTTAACGGAAGCGATCTTATAGGAATAGCTTAAACAGGATCAGGAAAAACATTATCATATTTATTACCGATGTTAATCCATATAAATTAAAAAGAAAAAAGAGAAAGAAAAAATCCAGTTGGCCTTATATTAGTCCCCACTCGTGAATTAGCAAATTAAGTTCAACTAGAATGTGCCAAATTTGGAAAAGCTTATAAAGCTTATTCTACTGCAATTTATGGGGGAGCATCTAGAAGTGTGTAAGAGTAACATCTTTAAAAGAAACCTGAAATAGTAGTAGCTACTCCAGGAAGATTAATAGATTTTGTTTAAAGCAAAGCTGTTGATTTAAGGACTATCACATATTTAGTTTTGGATGAAGCAGATAGAATGCTTGATATGGGATTCGAACCTTAAATAAGAAAAATTTTGGGATAAATACGACCTGATAAATAGATGATTATGTTCTCAGCTACATGGCCAAAAGAAATTAAAAATTTAGCTTATGAATTTTGTCAAGAAAAACCCGTTCATGTGCAAATTGGAGAAAATGATTTAAATGTTAATACAGATATTTAATAATAATTTGAGTTAATTGATTAAAATTAAAAATTATAAAGGTTTTTTTTTGAAAATAAAAAAATTATATATTTATTAATATTATTATTTTAAGATTACAAGAAATTATTTAAGAAAAAGCTGATAATAAAACTCTTATTTTTACATCTACTAAAAGAAGTTGTGATTTTTTAGAAATGACTTTAAAATCTTAAAAAATAAGCTGTCTTTCTTTACATGGTGATAAAAGTTAAAGTCAAAGAGATTATATTATGTATAAATTTAGAAGTGGATAAGTATAAATTTTACTTGCTACAGATGTTGCTTCTCGAGGATTAGATGTTAAAGATGTTAAACTTGTTATTAATTATGATTTACCTTAAAATATTGAAGACTATGTTCATAGAATTGGAAGAACTGGAAGGGCTGGTGCTTAAGGATAATCAATTTCTTTTTTTGATAAATAAAATGACATGATGATTGGCAAAAAAATTATTTAATTATTAAAGTAACATCACATATAACCAAGCTCAGAGTTTGAATAAATAATAAAATAAGGTTATTAATTTTTTAAATATATTTATTAATTTTATTTAATTTAGATTAATTGAATAAGTATTAAGACTAAAGATATTAATAATAGGGATAGGGTTATTAAAAATTCTAAAGATAGTATAGTAATTAAAATAGATAAAGATAATATGGTGGAAATTAAGGAAGAAGAAATAGATATTAAGATTAAGAATGAAATTGATATATAGTTTTTTTTTTAATTTAATTTAAAGATGTTTTTTTTTATTAATATAAAATAAGTATAATATAATATCTTATATGTTCTTATGGCTCTTGAATTAACCAAAAGTTTTTTAATTCTTATTTTTTTTTTAATTATTAAAATGTTAAAATTTCATATTTTATAATATAATTTATTTTCATTATAACATTCGATGGCTTCTTAGTTTATTTTTTTAAATTTAAAACTATTTTTGATTAAAAAAGTAACTTTGAAAATTTTGATTTTAATTAAAATAAATAAGTTGAATATAAATTCTTTTAAACTGTAAAAAATATAGATAAATGAAAAACTAATAATAAAAGCAATAAAATAATAATTAAAATCCTTATGATATATATAATAATTTGAAATAAATATTTGATTAAAGAGCTGTTTGCTTTGAATAAAAAATTACTCAATTATGTGTTTAATTATAATAAGATCAAATACTAGATATTTTATAAAAAGACTCTGTCAGTTCTGAATTCATTTAAGTTAGAATAAGAGAAATTATTTAAGAAAATTTATAAGATGAGAAAGAATGTTAAATAGAAAATTTATCAATATAGATATCTTAATTAAAAAATTAATTATAAAATAAAGAAATAATTAACAACTAGTTGCAGTAAAAAGTTAAATATTTACAACATGAATCTTTTGAATTTTAAGAAAAAGAGAATTAATAAATTAAAAAATAAATTTCTTTTAAAGATAGAGAATTAGAAAATAGGCTTTCTTATTTTATAAAATAAGAAAATGATCATAAAAATATAATAAAATAACTTGAAGAATAAAATAAAAACTTTTAAAATAATATTTAATAGTTGTAAAAATAATTAAACATTTAAGAATAAAAATAATAACTAAATATTGAACAAAATTAAACTGTAAAAAATAATATAAAAAATAAATAATTTTAATTAATATTTATAGGTAATATAAAACTACGATTAAGAATTTAAGAGAACCAAAGAGAAATACAAAAAAAAATAATCAAAATTAAAAAACAAATTGAAGAAGTATGAAATGAAAATAAATGAATAGGAAGAAAAATATAAAGATTAAATATCTTAACTGAAACTTGAAAAATAAACGATTTAAGAAAATTATTAATTATTATAAAATTAATATGATTATTAAGTTTAATTAAAATAAACTGAAATAGCTAATTTGTTATAACAGCATGCATAAAATTTAGTAAAAACCTATAACTAAAATAAGTATTTTATTAACAGTTTTTTTTTTAAACAAAAAAAAACAAGGAAGAATAAAAAATAAATATTAGAAGAGAAATTCAAGAAAATTTACAAAAAAAATAATCAGAAATAAAATCGGCTTATAATTAGTCCCGAAAAAAAGATTTTGACTCACGTTTCAGCTTACATACTCCTTTTCAATAAAATACAACTTTTGAAAAACAATAAAATAATAAATTAAAAGAAGAAATAAACAATATAAAATATGAATATTAAAACAATATAAATTAACTTAATTTAAATAATGCTGCTTTAAGCTCATAAAATGAAAATCTTTAGTTTTAATTATAATAAATGAACGCTAAATTGGATATAGATTATGATAAATTTATAAAAAAATAAGAATAATTAAAATCAGAAAATGAAGGTATATTAATACTTTTAAAAAATAAATAAATATTAAAATATAAAAAAAGATTTAACTGAAAAAATTGAGAAATTAGAAAAAAAGAATGAACAACTTTACATAGAAAAGAAAAACTTATAAAAAAAATTAGAAAATTATGAAATTGAGAAAAAAGAATTGACATTAAAAATAGTTTAAAAACAATGTGAAATATAATCATATTAATAAATAAATGAAATATTAAAAACTAAAATTTAATAAGAAATAAAATCCCCTTTTTAAGAAAAAAATATTTAAAATAGCGAAATAAGTTAATATGAAAAAGAAAAAGACCTTTTAAAAAATGAAAAATATATTTTAAAAAATAAAAATAATGAATTTAAATTGCAAACTTAATTTAATAATCAAGAAATAAATTAACTAAATAAAAACATATAAAATATTATATAATTAAATTAACAATAATAAAATTAATATTAGACTGAAATTTAAAATTTATGTAAATTTGAAAAAAGCAAATAAGAATATAATTATATTGAATAAATATAGGTTTTAAATAATGAAATTTCTTAATATAGTTAAATAATTTAAAATTTATAACAATAAATATAATCATAAAAATAATACATATCTAATTATCAAATAAAGTTTAAAGAGTGCAAAGAAAGGCTAAAAACAACTTTCAGTTAAATTTTAAATTCAATAAAGTCAAAATAAGGTAATAAAATATAAATAATTTATTAAATAAAACTAAATATAATATATAAATCAAATTATAGATGAATTGAAAATATTTTATATTGAAAAAATTGAAAAAATACAAAACTAGTTATCTGTAACTGTAAACTATATAGCTCAATATTATTAATAGCAATAATTTAAAAAATCTTAAGATTTTGTTGAAAATAATTAAGTTTTTATAAAATAATTAAAAGATGAAAACTCAAGTTTATAAATGGAAGTTTAAAATCTTAATTAAAAAGTTATCTATTTAGAAAAAAATATAATTTAAAACTAAAACTAATAATAACCATAATATTACGCAAAATAATTATAGAATTATTAATAGAAAATAATTAAATTATAAGAAAAATAAGAAAATACTATTATAACATTCTCTAATTAAATTTAAAAATTATAATAGGAATATGATAAACGTGTACATTTTATTAATTAAAAGCAAGAATAATTTGATATTTTATATAAAACAAATACTTAATTAAATATAAATAATTAAAATTTCGAAAAGTTGAATAATTAGTTAATTAAATAAATAAAAGATTTAGGAAATTAAATTGATAGTGGCAGATTTGAAAAAAATTAAATTTAAAATTCTTTGAAAAGGTAAATCAATTTAATGAAAATGATTGCTGCTGATTCTAAAAACTTTATAACAAAATAAAGCAGCCCTTAAATTCAAGTTGATAAAATATATTAAACATAAAAAAAAAATAACTACTCTGAATAAAATATTGTAAAAAATTATAATAATGATTAAAATAATTATAAAATTTATAATAAAAATAAATCGGATTACAAAAATTTTGAAGTATGTAATAATAATTATAATTTATCTCCTTAAAATTTTTATTTTTTAAAAAAATAATTTAATAATATTTGAAGATAATTCATGTAGTTGTTTATTTTATTATTACTAAAATTAAATATTAAGATAAAAATATATTTTTTATTAATTAATTTATATTTATGATACAAATAATATTATAATAATTTGCAATGATAAAATATTTTTATAATTATAATATAATTTTAACAAATATTTTCAATAGTATTATAATTTATATGATAATATTTAATAATAAAAAATAAAATAACATTATTTTTTTATCCAATTTCAAAATTAAAAGTTAATAATTTTTTAAATAGAAAAAAAATTAAATGAATTAACATTTCAGTATAAAATTCTTAATATTTAATTATTGATAATTAATCTAAATAATTTAAATTATGAATAATTAAAATATTAAGTTTATCTTGAATAGTATTAAAAATTAGAAAATAAATATGATAAAATGTAAAAATGAATAATTAATTACAAAAAATAAACTTTTTAAAATATATAAAGAAAATAATGAAGTATTGGTTACAAAAATATTTACTAGAAAAATCAAGTTATTGAAATAATTTATTTTAAAAGAACAAATATTTAATTTAAACTTATTATTGCTTCATTAAATTGTTTTATATAATTAATTTTATCTGCAATCAGTTCTCAATTATTATATTTTATTTAAAAAATAAAAAATTTAAAACATAAATAAATTGATATTATTTAGGATAATGTATATAATATAATTTATATTTATTTAGGAGAACTATTGTAAAAAGTCTTTTAGCATACTGAATTAAATAAAATATTTTGAACCAATTTTTTTTCTAACATTCTTAACTTTTAAATTTATATTTAAATTAAATTAATTAATAATATATATAATTTTATTTATAATTAATAAATTTTATAATTTTTATATTTATATTTATTTAAGGTTTATATAAAATTCATTATAATAAATAATAAAAACACTTAAAATAATTTAATGTATGAAAAACTAATTTTAGGTATTTATAAGTTTATATTGTTTAGAAAGAAATATAATTTTAATACAAGTTAACTAAAAATAAACTTAAAATAAAAATATATTTATTATTAATAAGTAAAGCATAAAAAGTAAAATTAAATCAGAGATAAGTTAACAAATATTAAAGTAGGTAGACAAGGAACGAGAAAGAAAGGTGTGGTTTATGTAATTTCCAAATATAATCTTAAAGAAAAAGTTAATATTAATAAATATTATTTAAATGGTAATATTAAATAAGATAATATAAAAAAAATATAATGATATAAAATTATTTTATACTTTTAAAAATATTTTATATTTACTTTAAATATTTTTGTTATTTTTTTTATAAAATTTTAATTTTAAAAAAATTTTTATATTAAAAAAAATAATATAATAATAAAATAAAATTTATTTAAAAAAAAATAAAAAAATAAAATAAAAATATTAAATATATATATAAATAAATATATATATATATATTTATATATATATATATATTAATTTGTAGTTTAAGTCTATAAAATATATTTGTATTAATTTAAATATTTTTTTTTTATTTATATTGACATATATTTTTTATAATTATCTATAATTACATTTAGTTTTTAATTATATTTTTTTTATTTATTAAAATAAATGTACTTTAATTTTAATATAATTTAATGATTTATTATTAAGAATTACAAAAAGAAATAATATTTAGTACAGTTAATAGAATCATTTTTAATTAGATTAATGTATAAAATTTTAAATATTATATTTGTATATTTATCAAGAATTACTTGAAAAAATTTATATTGTTAATCTTAATAAAATTTAATTTTAATTAATTAAAAACTAATATAAAATTAGATTGTATATCAAATTAATTTTTAATTAATATATTTTTATAATTAAATGATACGAAAACAAAATGCAATTAAAAATAATAAAACTAATTAATAGATTTATGTAAAAATTATATATATATATATATATATATATATATATATTATATTATAAATAAAATTTATATAATATTATTAAAAAATTAAATTATTTTATAATATTTTTTTTATATTTTATTTATTATTTATTTTTTTTATTAAAATTATATAATTAATTCGTTTTATAAAAACATAAAATATAATTTTCAATAATTTTATTAATAAGGAAAATAATAAAATATTACTTAACTATTTTAAATAAATATTAATTTTAATAATTTTTTTTTTAAATTTATTATTATTATTTAAATTTTTACATATAATATCATTATTTTAAATGTATTAATATATAAAATTTAAATATATAAAAAAATGAATATTAAATTTAAAAACTTCAGCCTATTAATATATTCTAAAATAGATCACTTAGTTATTTCTATAATTTTCAATTATATAATATTTTTATAAATTATTTAATTAAAATACTAAAAATATTAATTTTAGACAATATATATAATTTATTTTTATTTAAATCAATATATATTTAATTATAACAATTGATTTGTATTTTCAAAAAAAAATTTAATAAAATTATCTAATGTTATAAGTAAAAATCTTAAAAATATATATAGTTTAATCAAAGAATAATTATTTAGTATAAATTTACAATTACAAAGAAAATATTTAATTTTATTTTTATAAATTTACATTAAATTATATATATAATAGATTATTTCCATTTTCAAAAAATAGAGCAACATATTATTTTTAAATTTTTTTTATTGTATAATCAATATATTTTATTTAAATTGTTTTTGAAAATTATAACTGTACAAAAATATAATTAAATATATTTACAATATCGTTTTTGTTTTATTGTTAAATATAAAACGACTTTAAAAATAAATTTAAATTAAATATAAACCTTGATTATTAATAATCCTTTCTAATATAAAAATAAATATTTATATATATTTTTTTTGTTAAATACGTTTTTAAAAATGTTTTTTATTAATTTCATTTATTTTATATAAGATCTAACGTTTTTTAATTTATTAATTAAAAAAAAGTCTTTTTATTCATATATAAAAAGTAAGAAAAAAAATAATAAAAAAAATAAAAAAAAAATTAAATATTAAACAAAAAAATGAACAAATACTTAACTTTATTATTAATAATTGCTTTAGTTAATGCAGAAGAAAAATTAGTTACATCTGAATTCACATCCAAAGTATTTAATACAGATGAAGTTGTAGGATGGGTTGTATCAGGTAATAAAGGAGGAAAATTAGTCGGATAATGCTCAGGAGAAAGCACTTTTGGTGGTTATGATGTATTCGGATAAGGAGCAGTAGCTAATAAATCTTTTAATTCATAAGTAAGCCATTACGAATTAGTAATAAGATTTGAATTATTTGCAATCGATTCTTGGGATGATGAATTATTCATTTTAAAATTAGACGATGAGGTAGTATTTACATATTCTTTTTAATATAACAAATAACCTCCAACTGGATCAAGACCTATAAATTGTGGATCGTAAAGCTGGTCTGACAGATTACTTTAAGTAGATATAACAGTATCTCATTCTTCAAGAAAATTCAATTTGTAAATGACATCTACATTAAATCAAGATGCTAATGACGAAAGTTGGGGTATTAGAAACTTGTAGATCATTGCAAGATATGCTGGAGTTAACGCAATAGTATTATCAGAAGAATTCTCTGATGATAACTTCAATGAAAGTTATTCAGGATGGGTTTTGTCATAACCATTAATTAAACCCTTCAGTACTTGTGGAAATAATAAACTCTTTGGTGGTTATAATTTATTTGGTGAGAAAACAATTGTTTCAAAATAATTCAGTAACTTACCTGAACATTATGGAATCTTAATTGAGGTTACCTTATGGTTAATTGACTCACCTGATGCTACAGATTTTGTTTTTATCACTGTTGATGGTCAATAGTAAAAATTCACTAGAACTCACCTTGACTGGAAAAAAGATTAATTATGCGGAAACAGTAGTTTCGGTGAAAATGTTAGAAAATTGACTATTTTCTATCCTCACGTAGATTAAGTTGCTTTAGTATCTTTCTCTGATAACTTTGATGAAAAAAAGATAATGAATCTTGGGCTATTTAAAATCTAGTCATTACAGCGTTAAGTGGAAAGGGTGATAAATAAACTCTTATTGCTAATGAATTTAGTGATAATAATTTTACATCTGCCCCTGGATGGTTGAATATAGCCAATAATGCAGACGTGTCAAGTAAAATTTCTAATTGTGGAGGATCAAATATCTTCGGTGGATACAATTAATTATCAAGAGAAGATGTCTATAAAGTTTATAAAAATGTTCCTTTACATACCAACGTTCGTATTTTCTTCAAATTATTTGCTATTGATTCTTGGGATAACGAAGCTTTCCGTATTTTTATTGATGATGTTTAAGTAGTTCCTTAGGTCGCTCCTTTCTAATAAACCTCTAAGATTTGCGGAGTCTCAGGATGGGATGATCGTATTAGAAACTATTTTATTGACGTTCCTCATGTTGGATCTTAATTAAAACTTGCCTTTTACTCTGATTTAGATGAAAATGCAGACAATGAAAGTTATGGTATTAGAGATTTGAAAATCTGGACATATTTAGGATATCATGTTAAAGTTGTTTCTTCTGAATTTGATGACTATTCTTTATGGTCTGTTAATGGATGGTCTACTAAGCCTGATGTTAATCCCAAAGTTTCTACATGTGGTCCTTACTAATTATTTGGTGGTTACAATATTTTTGGATCTAAGACTGTCGTTTCTAAATCATATTCTGATCTTCCTAAACATAACAGAGTTATTATCAGTTTCAAACTTTTCTTTATTGATACTTGGGATAAAGAAGATTTATACGTTATTGTTGATGGAGTATAAATTGGAAAAAGAACTAAATCAGAAACTTGGGGTGGCCAATAGAGTTTATGCGGATGGAATAAAGCTTAAGAAGAAATTTATTCTGTTTAATTCGCTACTTATCATGTTGATTCTAAATTAACACTCTAAATTGGAGACAAGCTAAATCAAGGGAAAGATGATGAATCATGGGGTATGAGAGATTTGGTTGTTACTGTTTAAAATAATGTTGATGCTGAAGAGGAATGCGTAGTTATTTATTCTGAATGTGACTTCAAAGGTAAATCATTTTCAGTCTGTAAAAATATTCCTGACTTATCTGCTGTCGGTTGGAATGATCCTATCAGATCTGTTTCTGTTCCTTAAGGAGTTAGATCTAGATTATTTGATGAGAAAAATTATTAAGGAAACAGTGTTTAAGCTTTATAAAATGTTAGCTGTTTGATTGGATAAGCTTTCGTTTAATTAAATTAGGCTTTTGGTATTCAAGTCAAAGAAAGTGATATTAATGAGAACAAGTTAAAAAAATAAAATTGATTATAATAAAATGATTATATTTTATTTTATATTTTATAAGTTTTTTACAATTTTTTTTTTTTATTTATGTCTTAAGAAAGTACATAACGAACTTTTTTAAACATATTTTTTTAAAAATAAAATAAATATTTAAAAAGTTGATTTATTTAGGTTCATTCAATAAAATATATATTTATTAATAAGTGATGATAAGGCTATAAATTAATTAAAATTTCTTAAATATTTTAAACTGCTAAAATCAATATTTATTTTTTATATCTAAATATATAATTTATTTCAAATATTTTAATAATCTAAAATATAGTTTTTTTTTTAATAATAGTTTATTTATTATTTACTCAATTTTTTATTTTTTCTGAAACATCAATAAAAACTTGAAAATTATTATTGAATACAAAAATAAAAAACACTATATGAAAAAGTAATATATATAATTTATTAAATTACTAATTAATTGTATCTTAAATTTTTCTTAGAAAAATATAATTATTTTATTTTAAATTAAATTAATTAAAAAAAATATAAATCATATATTATTATTAATTTTTTGTTTAAAATCTCTAAAATTATAACCATATATTAAACTAAAAAAACTTTATTTTTTTAAATACCATTAAGATACTATATTTATAATTGATTATAAAATAAAAATAGATAAACAAAGTATAAAAATGAAATAATTAAGCATTATATTCCCAGATAATCCTCCATATTTTCCAGTTACTTAGACTGTTCCATTTTTAACAACTTGCATAAACTCAGATGAATTTTTCTTAAACGAATAGAAAAAATTAAATGAACAATTCCTTTAGCAATCTTAGCACGGTACTGATCTATTAAACTAACTTTCTAGACTATAAAAGAAACTAGAAGATGAATAAGTACAAGAAATTAATTTACTAAAAAGTCAAGCTACTTTGAAAAATGAAGCAGATTTACTCAAGTAAAAACAAGAAATAAAAAAATTAATAGCGTCTAATAATGAATGCTTGAAAATATAAAAGACATCCCTTGCAAACTAGTTAGAAGGAAAATAAGTTGAGCTTGAAAAATGGCGTACTTTATTGTCTGAATACAAAAAATAAATAGAAGTAATACCAAAAACAACAGAAGATGATATAATATAAATGTAATAAAAACTATTCCAATTGTGCTAAAAATTTCAGAATAATATTTAGATAATATAATAATCATGTGACAAGAGCATTTAGTTGGAATATGAAAAACATAAGTTTCAAGACATAGCAAATTAAGTTGAAAATTTAAAGAAAGAACTAGAATAAAAAAATATAGAAAATTAAACAAAAGAAATAGAAATTCAAGAAGAAATAAAAAAAGCATAAAAAATGAAATAAGTAAATAAAGAAATTAGTTAAAAAATTTAATAATTCACATATCAAATTGAAGATTCTAAAAAGCAAGAAGAAAATATTGAAACTTAAAAAAAGTAAAAAATATAAAATCTAAATAAAAACTTTGATGATGTATAATAATAGAAAATGAATGAAAACTATTAAGAAAATATAAAAAATTTATCTTAATAACTCAAGGCTTTATAATAATAAGCTTCAGAAACAGAATAAGAAACTCTCCATTTTTAATAAAAAATTTAGTAAATATCTATCGAAATTACTAAAAAAAAAATCAATGTATAAAAGCTTAACAAAGAAGCTGACGTTTTACTTTAAAATATTAAAATCGTCTAAAATGAACATTAATAAGAAATATTAAAAATCAATTAATAATTTCAAGATAAATAATAAAATATTACTAACGAATTTTCAAATTATTCTAATTAAAAATAAAAAATATTCAAAATTAAGGGTAAAAAGTTGTTTAAATAGATGAAAAAATATAAGATTTAAATTAATCTTTAATAAAAAATAATTTTCGAAAAAGTCAATTAGAAACTGTAAAATAAGAGCTTGAACATAAATTGGAAAATATTTGCATGCAAGAGGAAGAAGTCGAAAAAGAGCGCAAGAAGATTCAAAGACAAAAAGAAATTCAAGATTAAATGCATTTATTATAATTAACATAATATTAATCTCTTTAAATAGAAACACTTTTATAATAAGCTAAATAATTAGAATTTATAGCTTTTGAAAAACAAAATGAACTTCTAAAAGCTTCCTAAATAGCAGAGCAAACTCATTTAAAAGCGAAATAATGTTAGATCATAGAATAAAAAAAAGCAGGAGAAGTTGAATTCTGGAAAAAATAATTTAAAAAAACTGAAAGAGAGAAATCACTTGATATTGAAGATGCCAAAAAATTAAGATTATTGTAAATAAAATAACTGTAATTAATGCATAATTACGAAAGTCTTAACTAAGATCTAGAAAGAAAAAATCTTTTGAATATTGTTGATTTTAAAGACCGTGAAGTAAAAAATTTAAGAGACTCTTATGGTAATTTTGTTAGTGAATTAGCTGGAATTTAAATGGCGAAAAGATGTTCTAGATATTAATAATATTATGACTCAAAGTCAAGTTATTAATAATAATATCAATATAAGTATTAGAAATGAAATAAATAAATATCATAAAAATTATAGTTAGTATTGATGATTTAGATGTTATCAATTACAAAAAGTCTAATAATTTTGCTATATAATATTTAATTTATTTTAAAAAAAAAATTTATTGTTTTTAAAAATATAAATTTTATGTATTGAAAATTATTATTTAAAAAAATTTTTTTTTTGTTAATAAATATAATTTATTTTAATAATAATAAGCAATAAACAAAATATTATTTTAAAATAAAAATATATATATTGTATTATAAATCAAAAGAACAAAATAAAAATATATGCTTACTTTGCTTATAAATAAATTTTATGTAAAAACATAATTTTTGTTAATTTTTTTTATATTAAAATATGTATGTATATTTTTAAAAATAATTTTATAAATTAATTAATAAATGTATAATTTATATTTTATTCATAAAAAAATAAATTAATAATTAATTAAATTTTATTTTTATTTAAAATTATTATTATTTTAATAATAAAAAATTACCAATATCAATAAAAAATTATTATTAATTAATTATGCATAAAATAAATATATTCATTCTAATATATTCATTTTATTTTTTTAGTATTTTACTATATTGATTTAAATTTTTATTTTATTTCTTATTTAATGTTCATACTGAAAAGTTATATTTACTTTAATTTAATTATTAATCTGATTCTTTTGATTAAAATTATGATTAATTTTAATGGCATTTGCATTATATTGATTTTAGCATAAATTCATCATCTTTATTAATATAATAATCACTTACGAAAGCTTTGTTTTAGCAATGCCTATAATGTAATTATGTTTCCTTTATTTAAAATAAAAAACAAAATATTAAATTCATAAATAGTTTTAATGTAAAAATTTTATACATCTATTTATTTCATAAAATAATCCTTATATTATTTATTATTTAAAAGAAATTAAATAATTTACAATAAATCTTAATCTTTTTTGAAATTTAAATAATATCCTTCAATATCAATTTAAAAATTTATATAGGTTTATTTTATAATAGAAATTATATCTTCTATACTTCTCACAAATAAAATTATACCTGCTCTTTTTGCAACGATTTATTTATTATTAGAAACACTTAATTAATAAATTTAAGTATTTATATTTGGGCATGTATTTTAATATAAATTTTAATTTAATTCGTTTACAAGTTCTTTCCTTGTTCTTTCATTACAATCTAAACATTAAGTATTTCCCATTTTTTTTAGTATTATTTTTAATTTTATTGAAAATATATAAATAATTCTATTATTTTGAAAAAATTAATAAATATAAATATGATATTTTTTATATTATAAACAAATAATTTATTTTTTTATATATATATTATTTTAATAGTTTTTATTGTTAAAAAATATTTATAAACATTATTATTTTTATTAATATTTTACTTGAGTTTTAAATAAATAAATAAATCTTTTTTGAATTTTTCAAATATATTATTTAGTCAAATTAAGTATCTGTTCACATAAATTAAATTCTATATCATTATAATTTTTAAGCATTAAATACAAAAAAAAAAATATTCCAAAAACATAGAATACCTATAAAAATGAAATATAAACAGATTTAATTTGAACAAGAAAATAATTCAATAATATATAAAAAATATTTTTTTATATATTATATATTTTATATTACCTGTTTAATATTTTTAAAAATAATAATTTTTAATTTATAAAAAAAAATTATTTTTAAAATTTGTTTTAAAACTAATAATATATAAATTCATAATTTTTTACACTTAGTAAATCTACTATTGAAAATATGTCTGCTTATATAATATTTTGGTCAGCATTTTATATTCTATATTTCAATATACTATGTCTGTTTTTAATATCTATTTTATATTTGCCTAATTTTAATAATTTACTGCATTTTAAATTTAATTTCTACAATCAATTAAAATCAAAAAAAAAATACAAATGCTAGTTGCAATTTTTATTTTTAAGAATTTAAAGTCAAGGAATATTACCAATTTACAAAAAATAAAAATATCGGGATTACTGTTACAAGTTAGTGCATATCAACATTTTATTATATTTTAAAAATAAAATTTAGTATTTAAAATATTAAAAATAAATATATTTAAAAATTTATAAAATTAACTTTCATTTTTATTTGAAGATTAAATTTTTAGAAAGTTAAAACATTAAACATTTTAATAAAATATTTAAAATTAAAATTATATTATATTTTATTTATTTATTTTTAAATTAATAAACAAAACAATTTTTTAAAGATTTTAAATTATTAATAAAATAATGAATAAATGTTAAAATATGCTGATATAAGTTTTTCATAATAAAAAATTATCTATTTAAACATTAGTTTGATTAATTTATTTTGATTAATATTTAGATTAGATTGGAATAGAATAATATTAGGAATTTGAATAAAATTAATTTTCAATTATTATTTTTCATATTTTTATTTTTTAAAATGATATATTTATTAAAATTAAAAATTCTATGAAATTAAATTAGAATAATAATAACTAATTTTTAATTTAAAATAATATTTACTTATTTAAAATTGTTTAGAAATATCTTTAGTTAATAATAGTTGATTTATAATTATGAAAAGAAAAAAAATATTGAAAAAAAAAAAATATAATACACATATATATTTTATAAAATTAAGTAATGTACAAAAATAAAAATAAATATTAATTAAAAAAAATACTTATAAATTATAATTAATTTTAAAGATTTAAATTTTATTTAATATAAATAATTATAAAATATTTATTTATTTTTTAATTTTATTATAAATAAAAAAATTCTGATTATTTATAAAGCACCCATTAGATTAAATAATGTTTTTTGTCTTAATCAATATTATTATTTTTTTAAAGTATTTGTAATATATATCTCAAATATTTTAAAATGCAAAAAATATATAAAATTTAAAAAGTTTAGAGAAAAATCAAAATAAAATTTATTTATTTCATTTCAAAAATTAAAAGATATATAATTAAAAATAATATAAAAAATTATATGATAAATAAAAAAAATATTTCTTATAAAATAATTTTTAATATGATTTATAAATTAAAAAAAAAATGAAATTAAACAAATATTAAAAAAAAAGCTGTTCGAATTGCTGATTAGTAAAAAAAATATACAAATTATATCAAATATGAAAATAATGAATGATACTACTGAAAATGATGACTAGAATATAGTGTTTGAAATAAATAATACTATATTTAAATAAATAGAATAATAATTTATATAGTATAAAAATAAAAGTATTAATGTCTAAGTAATAATAAATTAATAATATTTTGAAGATTATATAATTTTTCAGCTTATAAAAATAGAATATTTTTTTTTAATTTGAATTATTTTTTTAGGTTTGTATTTTATAACTTTAATTATTAGTATTTTTGTTTATATAGTAGATTTTTATTATTTTATTCTTTAAATTTTTACTTTTTCATAGAAATATGATAAAGAAAGATAACTATCTTTTTTTTGATTGAGTTTAAAAAAAAAAAAAATAGAAAAAATAAGAAAAGTAACAATTTCTATTTGATTAAATCCATTATTAAATAAAAATAATATATTTTATTTCATTAAATTTTAATTTTTAATTATTGAAAAATTATATAAGTATTTATGTGTTTTCCATTTGAAGCATTTTATTTAATATTTTTATAGTTTAGTTTATATATAAAATAAAATTAATTTAAAGTGAAATAATAAATATATAGAATTTATATTATTTAAACAATTTAATAGTATATATAAAAAATTTAATTTTTTTTAAATATGTATATTTATTGTCTTATTTAGTATCTATAGATATCTTGGTAAAAAAAAATTCTCTAGTAAAATAATGAAATTTTAGAATAATAAAATTTTATATTTGGAATAAGGTAATTTTTAATAATACAGGATAAATTTTAAAACCCATATTGAAATTTAATTTAATGAAATTTTTTTTTTTTTTAAATAAATATATTTTTTTAATAAATAATTATTTTAATAAATACATCACAATTTATTTTATATTATTTTTAAAAATAATATTCCTATATTTCTTGATTATTTTTTCCAATATATTAAATTTTTCAGGATTTGTAAAAAAAAAATATGATATGATTTTATATTTTTAGTTCGTTTAAGTAGTCATTAAAATGTAAAATAAATTATTAATAAATAAAAGAAAAATATGTTCCGTTTTTGTAATATTGTTTTATATTATATTTAAAAAACGATATTAATTTAATAGCTTTTTTAATGAATTATTAAAAAAAAAGAAAAAAATTAAATTAATAAAAAATACATAAAAATATATTTTTACATTAAAAATATAAAAAGAAAAATGAAAAAGGTATTAATATTATTTACATTACTAATTCTAGTAATTTCACATTCTTAAAAAAATATTACGCAAAAACAATTAAAAAAAACTAAAAAGATAAGAGTCAGAAAACTTAATTAATATTCCGTTAAAAAAAGCTGAACTAACAAAACACTAAAAGCACAGAATGATATAATTATTGTCAACTCACTAATATTATACTATATCTCATTCAGACTCTTTAGCATCTTAATTATTTTAAGAAGATGATTCAAAAAAAAATACAAATAAAAATACATAAGATTCTAAATCTAATTAATTCAATTTGAAATTATTTAATTTCTAAAATGTATAATACACTGGACCCTTATCTATTGGTGATCCAGATAATACTTTCGAAGTGATATATGATACCGGTTCTGCAAATATTTGGATAGATTCAAAATAATGTAGTGATATAGGATGCAGAAACAGAAAATAATATGATCATTAGAAATCTAGTAATTATCACGCAATAAATTTATAATTAGATGTATAATTTGGAACAGGAGAATTAATAGGTAATTTCAGTTAAGACACAGTTTACTTTGGAGGTGTTGAAATTGAAAAATAGGATTTTATAGAAATCCAAAAATAAATTGGAGCAGTATTTTAAGATGCTAAATTTGATGGAATTGTTGGTTTAGCTTTTCCTAGTATGGTTGCCTATAATAGAAATTCGCTTTTTGATAATCTTGCTAAGTCAAAAAAAATTTCGAAAAATATTATTTCTTTTTACATGAGTAATAATGCTGGAAGCTCAGATTCTTAATTAACTATTGGCGGTTATGATAAAAATAAGGTGCTTGGATAAATACATAGTCATAAAATTGTGAAATAATATTATTGGATCTTCAAAGCTGATAATATTTTAGTAGGAAAAAAAGACATTGGATTATGTAAAGGTGGATGCTATTTAATTGCTGATACTGGTACTTCTTTAATTACAGGACCTTCGGATTCTATCTATAACTTGTTAAGTAATTTTAATTTTTTTTATATTTCTATTTTTTTTAATAGATCACCTTAATGTTAATGATAATTGCTCTAATATGAACAGTTTAGGCGATATTACTTTTATTGCTGATGGCGTTGAATATAATTTAAAACCTGAAGAATATATTCTTAAGGACGATGATGCTGAAATGTTTGTGGAAGCTTCAATCAGAGCTGGAAATACTATGAAAAATAAATCTGCTTCATGTATGGCTGGATTCATGCCTTTGGATATTCCAAATGATGAAGATGATGGATTTAAATATGAAAAAGCTTGGATCTTGGTATGTTTAATAATATTTTTTAATATTTATTTATAATTAGGGAGATATTTTTCTCAAGAAATATGTTTCTATTTATGATAGAGATAATAATACTGTTAGCTTTGGTGTTGCTAATCACTCATCGATATGAAAATTCTAAAAAAAAGAATATGGTGAAAAATAAAATATAACATAATAACTAGTTTATATTGATATATTAATTACATTCTTTTATTTACATATTTTTTTATTATTATTTTTCTTTAAAAATAATTAAATTTCTTCTATATATTTTAAAATAATTTAATTTTTGTATTTTTATTATAAGTGTTATATAGACTTTTTATTTTCTTGAGTTTATAAATCATAAAATATTCTTTTGAATTTTTTTTTTATGTAACCCTAAAAAAAAAGATTCGTAAAATTATAAAATTCATGTTAAAAACTTTTTATTTATTTTAATTTTAAATTCTTTAGTAAATTATTTTTTTGACTTAATTTATTTAGTATTCTTGAAATCTGAATATAATTTATGGATTGTATTTTTTAAAAAAAATATTAAATAAATAAATGTATTGATTTAATTTAATATTTAAAATATTAAGAGTGAAATTCTATAAATTTCTTGAAATTAATCTATAATTTCTAAACTGATAATAGTTCTTGTCATCATATCATTTCTTAATTTATTAGAAAATATAAATTATATTAATATAAATTCATACATTAAAACTTTTCAAATATAAAAAACAATATATATAAAAGAATTTTATGTATTTATAATTTTATTTATAAATTAAACTTTATAAAATAATAATAAGTTATTTAAATATTTAATTATTTTTAAAGTTCAATATTTTTTTAAAAGAATGCTTAATGAATATAAAATTTTCTTTAGAAAATATTTAATTAAATAATTATTCGTAATTAATTTTGCTATTTTGATTATATCAATGTAATTAATATTTGATTTTTTTTTTAATAATAGAAATAATATTATAAAGAAATTATTTAAAAATATTTATTTATATTTTATTTTTATATATATCTTAATAAATGATTTTATTTAAAAAAAAAAAAAAATATTAATTTTTATTTAAATAAATAAATATATAAGTAAAAAATTAATTATATAAATATTATTAATAAAAATAATTTATAATAAAAAAATTAAATATAAAATTCAAAAATCGGAAAAAAATTATATATATATATATATATATATATACTTAACACTATAAAATAAATAAGTAATTTAATTTTGATAATAAATACATTTATATATATATATAAATTTCATTAAAGAAAAAAATTGAAAATAAGGAAAAATTAAAATAAAAATTTTATAAAAATCACACATTATAAAAAAGTAAAATAATATACATAGCAAAAAAGATGTTCGAATTAAAAAATATACGCCGATCATCCGCTGCTTCTGACATAAAAGAGCCTCTTCTTAACTAAGATTAGCTAACAGAAGAGCCGTTATATAAAGGCTTAGAAGACTATAAATAGAATAATGAAGCAATTGAAGAAGAATAAGAGGAGACAATTATATATATAGATGGTACAGTATATCCACCAAAGAATACTTCTAATAGAATAAATAATTAAAAATATACAATAGCGAATTTTATTCCAAAAGTATTATATCATTAATTTAAGTATTTTTTTAACCTTTTTTTTTTAATAATTGCTTTATCGTAATTTATTCCAGTTTTGAAAGTTGGTTTTTTATTTTCTTATGTAGCTCCATTAGTATTTGTATTATGTGTAACAATGGCAACTGAAGCTTATGACGATTATAAAAGATATAAAAGAGATTAAGAAGCGAATTTATATAAATATACAGTTCGCCGTAAAGAAGGAAATATCGATGTGTTTAGCCAAGATTTAAAAATAGGAGATTTAGTGGAAATAAATGCAAATTAAAGAGTTCCAGCAGATGTTATTTTAATATCTACAAACTAACCTGATGGCGGTGTTTTTATTAGAACCGATTAGTTGGATGGAGAAACCGATTGGAAATTAAGAAAGCCAATTATCTATACATAAAACTATGATAATAAAGGAAATCTTTTCTCACTGAAAGCTTGTGTTAGCATTGAAAAACCTCGTTTAGACATTTATAAATTTAATGGGCTTTTTAAATTGGAATAAGGGGGAGGAGAAGGTTATAGAGAATCTCTTTCTCTATAAAATACTATGTGGGCAAATACTTTCTTGGCTGCAGGAGTAGCATTAGGTTTGATTATTTATGTAGGAAAGGAAACTAGATCTATAATGAATTCCAAAGATCCGAGAACAAAAATGGGATTAGTTGATATGGAGTTGAATAAATTATCCAAAATTTGCCTTCTTATCATGTGCGGATTAGCTGCTATGATCATAATTTTTAAAGGTTTCGGATATAATTGGCTTATTGAATACTTTAGGTTTGTTCTTTTGCTTTCATCAATTATTCCTATTTCATTAAGAGTAAATTTAGATATTGCTAAAATGATTTATGCATATAATATTAACCATGATGAAGATATTCCAGGTACAATCACTAGAAATTCTACTATTCCAGAAGAATTAGGAAGAGTTTAATATGTTTTATCCGATAAAACAGGTACTTTAACTTAAAACGATATGGTTTTTAGAAAACTTTGCTTAGAAGCAATCACTTTTACTGAACAGAACTATCAAAAACTCGCTTCTATAGTAAAAAAATAATGTTCTTTAAGTGAAGGTCCTATGTAAGATGTAGCAGAAAGGGCGAAAAATGAATAAGCATAGTAAAATAGTACAGGGAAACGTAAATATAATCGAAGAGAAAAAGATTTAGTCGTTCGAGATTTAATAACAGCTTTGGCTTTATGCCATAATGTAACTCCAGTAATTGACAATAGTGAGAAAGTATATTAAGCGTCATCTCCAGATGAAATTGCGTTGGTAAAAATTGCTGAGAAATTAAAAGTAGAATTGGTAAATAGAGATTAACAAAAAATAGAAATAAAAAACGCAGCCGATAAAATGGAAACTTATTAAATTTTAGCTAATTTTCCTTTTACAAGTGAATCTAAAAGAATGGGAATCATTCTTAAGCATGTTTAATCATAGAGAATTATTTTTTATTTAAAAGGGGCAGATACTATTATGAAGAATAAAGTTCCCTAAATTTAAAGAGGTTTTTTGTTAGACGAATGTGAAAATTTAGCTAGAGAAGGACTTAGAACTCTTGTTATTACTTAAAGGTACCTTACTGAATAGGAATATTAATAGTGGAATTAAAAATTTACGGCTGCTAATGAACTTTTACATAATAGAGAATAACATGTAAAATAGGCTATTGAGAATTTAGAAGATAATATGGAATTTTTAGGAATCACGTATATATTTTTATTTTTTTTAAATATAAATATTTATTTTTAGAGGGGTAGAAGATAAATTATAAGAAGATATATGTTCAACTTTATAGTGTTTAAGAAATGGAGGTATTAATATATGGATGCTTACTGGAGATAAAGTTGAAACTGCTACTTGTATAGCCATTTCTACAGGTTTAAAAACCGCTACGGAAGAAATTTTTACTATCAAAGATGTTGAAGATTAAATAGAACTAGTTTAATAATTAAATGATTTCTCAAGGACACGTGCTATTTTAGTTATTGATGGTATCTCTTTACAAACTGCCCTATAATATAAAGAAAAGTTATTCTTTGAAGTTGCTACCAATGCACCCGGTGTTGTGTGTTGTAGATGTTCACCTACTTAAAAATCTATTGTTACTGAAGGTGTGAAAAGATATACAGGAAAAATCACTTTAGCAATAGGTGATGGAGGTAATGATGTTGGAATGATCTTAACTGCTCATATTGGAATTGGTATTGTCGGAAAAGAAGGAAAATAAGCAGCTTTGGCTTCTGATTATTCAATTCTTAAATTTAAATATTTAGCTAAATTATTGCTGTTTCATGGAAGATTGAATTACAAAAGAACTTCTGTAATGTCATAATTTGTTT